GATTTTGCTGTTATGCGATTTTACCACACTTGCAAAATCGCACACAGCCGACCATATAACAAACTCTGTATTTTGAGTGGAAATGTTAGGGGGTCTTCTTATACGCCGAGTCGTCTTATATGCCGGCAAATACGGTAGCTAAAGTTTGAAAAGAGAGCTGACACAGATTCAGAAGACCACTGATAAATATAGATATTCTGGGGAGAAAATAAACAACTTTACTTAGATGTAAAATTGTAAAATTTTGGATTTAAAATATAAAGTTTTTTTCTTTTTCCCTGAGCGCTCCTTCATTCGTTCTCAAATTAGCCATGTGCAACTGGTTCACCAGAGGATATAGGACCCTGAGGTAATGAGACATACCTACTGGCTGGGGTTTGGCTGATGGAGGTTTAGGGGATTCCGTAGGGCAAGGCAGAGTGTGTAGGGAGGTCAGTCCATGCGTAGCTTGAAGGTAGGACTAAGGATAAGGATTACAGCTGGAGAGTGAGAAAACAGGGAAAAAGCAGGTCAAGGCCAGGGCAGTGCTTTAAGAAACTTTCCTCTGTTGCCCTATTTCCCACTCATGGTCACTAGTCTAGGTTAGGGGTCGGCAAACTTTTGAGATGGAAGAGCCAATCCTGTCCCTCACAACAATTTAAAAATTATTTGAGAGCCATAAAACAAATGAAATCACCATTATGTGGATAGTATCCTTTAAAAATTTTATAAATGAAACTATGATAGTTTTATTTTCATTTTCAATTTTACTTCAGAGCCACATGTACATACCCAAAGAACCGCATGTGGTTCGCGAGCCGCTGTTTGCCGACTCCTGGATGAAGTGAAGATGGGTGTCTTCTCTTCAGGGCTGGCTCCAGAAGGAGGTGTGGCCAAACACCTACTCTGTGATAATGGATTACTCAAAGGAAAACATATCACCACTGAAATAGCTAGTCTTTCTTGGGATTTTACTCTGAGAGTTTTACTTTGTCTTTAGACACCACCTCATCCTCAAATCACATTTCCCTAGAAGGTGTCAAGTATTTGCCTTGCCCAGTTACTTCGGCTCCATTTTTGATACAAATTAGTATAAATAGTGCAGAATAAAAATGGATCTTTAAATCAAAATCCTTGGTAGTTGATTTTGTCATTCATCAGAATCTACATAAATGAAAAGCAGAAAATAGACATTGTAAAATGTATCATTGAATTTTAAATAGTCCTAAAAGGTTTATATATAACGACCAAGAAAAAAAATTGCTTAATTATATAAATGCCATACTTACTAGTTTAATAATAAATTGAAAATTACAAGGTCATCATTTACTTTTGTCAAAACAAGATTAAATCTTGTCAAAACAAGATTAAATTTCTTGACTCAGATAAAAGCTCCAAAATTTAATGCTCTATGTACATATGTGGTTATACATAATTTTTATAAAATATTTCTGTATTAATCTTAACTATCTTATAGTACCTGCTCTTAAAACAACATTAAAAACCTTTTATATCATGATTATCCCTGGTTATATAAACTTATTGGAAAAAATATTTTGGTTATGAAGTACTATACCAGAGGGCTTAATTGAATCCTTAACTGCAAAGATTTGACACTAGTTAAGAGTGAAGATACAGCTTATCAAGAACAACAACATTTTTCACGCAATAGAGAGGACAGTGTGAATGTGATTATCGAATTCTCAATATGGTTTTTACTTAAAAACGACATAATGAGCATCCTTCACAGTAGTTGGTGAGCTGTCACATTGGAATTGATAAAAAAAATTTCTTCATGAAGACACAGTAAATAACATAAATAATTTTAAATGTATAAGATAATTGTTAAACAAGTGACAGTATGTTATACACATGGGATACAATAATTACAGAAATACATTTCATGAAAAATTTAAAGACACTCTAACACCACAGCTTATAAAGAAAATTTAAAGTAATATAAATATGTGGCAAATAGGAGGGAGCTTTTTGCCCTCTTTAAATTGCAGTTCTCTAGAAAAAAATTTCCTTTGAATTTTGGGAGATAACAGTGTTTTTCATGCCTTTGCAGTTCATTTTCTGTGGTACATAAGGTAATAGAATAGACATATTAACAGTGTTTTCTGTTTATGTATTATCTCTAAAAAAATCTTTTGGTTTGCTTCATGCCATTTGAAAATTAATTGCATATAACCTAATGGAATTTACTTTTTAACTTGTAGTAAGTAGATAAGTCATCTGTTATAAAATTAACTAGAATTGAGAAGTTTTCTAAATTGTAATGAGTATCCAGATTTTTTTGAAATGCAATTGATTCCTATTATGATTTATATCAAATGTGAAACATTCTGTTATTACACTAGTATTAAAATAATAATAGCCCTCCTCACAATTTGTGTCCATAAGCATCTTCAGGTTTGTAATTCTGATATTTCAGGTTTATGTGTATTCAAATTGTATTTTATAAGCATATGTACCTGTATCTTCATTAAAACAGTGTACACTGGGAGTGAAACTCAATATCAGTGTGCCTAACACATTGCAATTAACTCATCAATTATTTGTAACTGTTATTTAATATTCAAGAAATGCTCCAAGCCTTGGAGAATTTAGCAGTCATTTTTCTCATAACCTGAAGTCATATTTTGCCAAGAATAAATAAATTCAACTATCAAACTTATCCTCAGTTTGTAGAAATTCAGAAATAATGAAATTAAAGTGGGTTTCATATTAGATAACATTATTATCTCATCCTACTGATAACAAATTTCAGTAACATTAATGACATTTTGCATTAAATCTTTGAAATATAAAAAAGAGAGATACATACATATTCTATGTGTAGCATAAAACAGTCACAACACTTTCTTTTCATAAGTCTTCTCATTTGTGTTACTAGCACATAATGAGGTAAGTAGTTGAACCTTTGTTCCACAAGATTGACAGCTTTGGGGAACACTTGTTTCTTTACCATTTGTTCCGTTAAGGTAACCATTAAGGTAAGAGGATTTAAATCCAGATCTCTTAGGATTCCTGTATCACCATGTTGAGAGCAATGTACAGTCTCTTATTCCACTCCTGCAATATCTCATACGTATTGATGTTTGTTTGTTTTTCCTTCCAGGCAATATGCACTTAGAAACTGTCTGCTTCGGCAAAACTTAGTCTTAAATAAAATTAGAAATTTGATATTTTTTGTTAGAAACTCAAGTCATCCAGGTAGCCATAAAGCACACGAGGGCTTTAAAACCAGTCTTCTTTCACACTGCACTTGTAACCCAGGGACCATTGTTTTATAAACCATAATCTCTTTGAGTGAGATGACATTGAGTGACAATTCAGCAATGATAGTCAGCCTCTTCTTTCAGACCTCCAACCAGGATGACAGTAGTGATGATGGTGGTCCCTGTTGTAGATACCTGTGCAATAAAATACTTTATTTCACATGGGCTAATAAACAGGTGCCAGGTTGTATTATTTGGAGCAGTGGTTCTCAAATTTTAAGGTGCTTCAGAATGACCTAGTGGGCTTATTAACACACAGATTCCTGGATACCACCCCCAAAGTTTCTGATTCAGATCTGGGATAGGGTGGAAATTTGCATGTCTAATTAGTTCTTAGATGATGCTGATGCCGATGGTTCAGGAATCGCACTTTGAGAATCACTGATTTAAAGCAAAGGGATTCTGACTTCTGAATCTGTCCTCAGCACACAATCACACACTCCTGCCTCTTTGAGACTTTCTTTCTCTCCCCTCTTGTTCTCTCTTGCTTTCCCTTTCTCAATCTCTCTCCTTACATGATCAAGAACTAGATACATTATGGTTGAAAGGATTTAGCTCCTATTCTGACATATTACTTAGCTATTAAGGCATATTATCGATATTATCTGAAGTTATTGTCAAACTATTTAAAGTGCTAGTTTCCATCACAACCTGAAAATTACAACTCTCCTTTCATGCAGCATAAATAAGAAAAATTCCTCAAATGTACATAGGGGAGAAAGAAGACTTACAATACTTTGTTTTCATGTATATTGTTCTGATAATTAGCAATATAATTTCAATGAACCTCATATGCGGGAGATTTTCGCTCTTAGTTGTAAAAAGCACAAAGTAATCCCCAGTTATACGATATGAAAACAACTTGTGGATAAGTTGGCTGTATGACTTCTTTCTGAAAGTGATGAGTTGGGTAAAAGCAAGAAAAGAACAAGATAATGTTTATCTTCTATGAAAACCTTTCTTAAATATTGTTCTCCATGTCTTTTGTTTCAATAAAATAAGAGCACCTGCTACTATAATATAAAAGCAAATTTTCATGAACATATCTTTTACTTTCAATTTAATTTTAACATGAATATTTGAATAAGAATTTTGCAGAGGAACAAATGTGAACTATCCAGTGCTTTGAACCCCAGAGCTTAACATTTATATAAAATACCCTATACTCCTGTTCATTTATGTGTAGGTTAAGAGCAAGCCTCTCCATTCTCCTAATCGCCTGACTTTCAGCCGCAGGCCCAGGTGGCATTCTGTGACATCAACAGTGACACTAATTAAACACAAACAAAAAAGTGCCAACATCCAGATGAGGAAGAGCATCGCTGGTTTCGTTACGCTCTGTCGGTGTCAGAATCTGTCTCCCAGAATGCTTTGCTGCCCTGCAGACTCTTTCAAACTCTCTCAGTAGACTAAAGCTTTTTTAAAGGCACATTTACATCCACCCCCCAACTCATTTCCTAGCATCTAATACAGTGGGTGCTTTCTGGTAGGTGTTTGATAAATATTCATGAAATTTAAAGAAATGCAACTGTTTTCCATCAAATCTCCATGGCATTAACGTGTGCAGTCTAGGACCCAACTAGGATTTAGTAGTCTACTACATCTTTTCTTTGTAAATTGTATTCTTAATTCCCCTACGTCAGCTACATCATTTTCATTGGTTAGAAGAATATAATAGTGTGATTTTATATCATTTTTAAATGCTGAAGTCTTAGAGATGGAAATTATTATTTATTCATAGTTACTCTAAAAGTTTTATTTTAATACTGAGTCTTACTGGCCATACGTTGAGATGAAAAATGTTGGCAATAGTAAAGTTACGAACCTGAGAAAATTGTGTTAATGAGTGATAAAATTAATGGAAAATAAAGCTTAATAGTATATATTTTTATATATTTTGAAAGGTAGCTTTTGAGTAATATAATATACTATTATGTATATAAATGTTCACTCAGGTGTCATACCATAATGAGTCTTTTGTGATTTTTTTAAACTATGAAGTCAACTAAAATGTCTGTTGTTAATTCAGTTAGTGATAGCTATTTCTTTTAGTAGCCGCAAGAAAATCACTGGATAACTCTTGGTAATTTTTAGCAACAAATTTGAATTTCAAGATTGAAATAACAATTAGAATTGCAATGTTTAAACATTTAATCGACACAAATCATAATACATGAAGCTAAAAGTGAAATGGCCTGAAATAAATTCAGTTGAAGGTTAAACGTCTAACATATTTAAAGCAAAAGTTGAGAAATTTTTTTAAACTGACATTTTTATTTCCAAAGAGCAATAGATTTTTCTTTTTTAAAAAAATGGGTCCACAAAGTAATTTTAGCTTTAGATCATTAGGATAATAAAATTTCTGTGCACAGAGATTTTTTTAAAAAATAATAGTTTTACTCAGGTATCCTCATATGAATAAATATTCTACCAGTTTTGAAGCGGCCCCGCTCCATTGGCTGCTGGGAGTGTGCTTATACTGGTGAGCACAACTTGCTCTGAGAGTTTTGATATGTTATCAAAGTTGCTGATCTGGGTGGTCAGAGACTTCCGGCTCTCCGTGCTTGTTCGCCCCCTGGTGAGCCGATCCTCTTTGCGATGGTGAACTCCAAGGCAACAGCAAGAAAATGCAGCTTTAAATTCCTCTCGAAATTTTCCTGGCAAACCAAGGAGAATGAAAGGAAAAAGAATTGTGGTAAATGTTTTAACAAATCATGAATAGGGTACAACTGAATTGCTCCCTTGAGCCAAACTAACAATGAGGTGCAACATTTTGCAAAGATGGGGAAAATAGGAAAAGGAAATTGAGTTACTGGAAGCTTGGTAGACTCTTGAAACAATGAGGTATTTTCATAAAATAATGAGACTGTTTTTCATGTGTGATATTTGGAGTTTGTTTCATTCCTTTAGAGTCAAAACTCATGTATTTGTGAATGTGGGTTATTTTTAACTAGTTAACTATAATAAAAGTGATCGTTAATAGAAGAATACCCAGAAACATTTAATAATTTCAAGAATGATAAAACCTATGTTGTACATAGCCAAAACTATACAGAAATTACCTCTACATTTTACTCTGAAGAAACTGTTCTACTGAAACAATCAATTGACCAAAAATATCTAGAAAAATATCTTCAAATACCTAGAAAGTCTCTAAAGTTTTATAATTTGCATAGGCAGAACAATAAACTAAATGAGAAAATAAACAACTTCAGAAGTTATTCCTTGTCTTTAGATTACTGACATGAAATTAAAGAAGTATGAAAATGAAACAATTACATTTTTAAGGCTAAATGGCAGTGTTGAGAATTGTAAGTTTTTTCCTCCAAGCCTCAATTACCAAACTGGGTTACTGAGTGATTACATGAGAAGATGAATGTTAAGGGCCCACAAAATAACCAGGACATAACAAGTCCCCAGTGATTATCAACTGCCTTTCCTGCCTCAGCCTTAATAACCACATAATAGCACTTTGACTTGGTTCTATGGCTTCCGTTTCAAACACCTCCCTACTACTTCCTAGTAGGTTTTACCTACTTGGTGCAAGGCTCAGGGCTTTTGTTACTTCTAACCCACTGGCAACTGCTTCCCGGCTGCTTACCAAGCCACAGCTCCAAGTGGTCCTTTCTCCCTTCACACACTGCACACAAGCAGTCCTATTCCTGTCTCAGACCTAATGTAGTCTTTGTTTTGGAGACTGGAATTGGGTGTGGCAGTGGAAAGCATGAAAAGGGGCAAGTGAGCACAAAACAAACCTCACACATATACAACCTGATTCTCTGAAATGTGAAATAAAACATTCATACATATAGGGTGTATGCAAAGTTTGAATAAAGTTACTTTAAAAAATCTAATTGACTGGTTGGCTGTCTTTTTTATTTTTATAACCCAGAAGGCCAAATATAAAGTTGGAAAATGCATATACTTTATTAAATATGCAATAAAAAATTGTTTATTCCTCCATGTATATGAGTAATTATAATATATTTGGAGGTAGACATGAAAAAGAAATAGCCAATCAGAGAAGAAAAACAATGCAAAGAAGGAGCTAATTAAAACACATTTCTAAAAGTCAATCAAGCAAAATGTTTCCAAATAAAACAATAATAGGTTAAATGATTTTTATAATTGTATCAATTCCATAAACACAGATAGATGAAATAAGTTACAGGTATGTATGTCATTTAGTTTAGGTGTTATTAAGGGGTAATATCGTTTTCTGTGGTCAGTGAGAAAGCTTGAGAAAAACCCAAGAGATATTAACCACAAGAAAATGTAAATTCAGAAAAGTACCTAAAAGTGCAAAGGTTCCAATTCAATTCAATTAAGCTACAAATATTGGCCGAGGAAATAATATAGCTGTTTTCTTTTCAGGTAAAATTACCTGACATTTTAAAAAGGTAAGTTTACTGTATGACAAGCAAGATTCTGTGTTATTCAGTTCACACAATTTTCACTTCTTTCCTATTTCAACATTTCTTCTAAGTTTTAGGGAAAAAAGCCCTTAGATGATTTTCTCTGATGACTCAGGTTCCTGTTCATAAGGGAAAAACCTCAAGACAAATCAGATCAGGGAAAAAAAATTTCTCATTGTATAGCATCTAAGCTCTTCATCCAGTTCAAGAGTATATAGAACCTTCTGGCCATTGGTCCCTCATCCTTGGTTAGAATTGTGATTTATACAGAAAAAAAAAAACAGTTGAAAACTCACCACTGAGAAAATTATAAATAATTGGGTTCGCAGCACTGTTGGCATAGACGAGCCAGTGTGAAAATGTAAACCAGGCATAGACAGTCTCTCTGTCTTCGGTGTGGGTAAACATCCCAAATACTCTGTAAGAGAAGAAACAATAATAGGCTAGCTAGTGTGATTCTGCAGAATACCTTTTAAATAATTTAATTCAAGGGTGAACAAAGCCCTTGCTAGAAGCTGCCCGACCCCTGTCTTCCTCTGCAGCAGACACTGACCACTGATAGCTTTATGGCACCACGGTGGATTTAGAATAACTTCAGCTCCTAAGCAGAACCTCTAAGGCACAATTCAAAAATCAAAAGTCTAATCAGGTCAGAGAAGAAGGTCTCTGTCTTTCCTGTAAACAGCAAATGTAATAATATTTCTTGTGGGTAAGAATACAGAAGTTGACTATATATCTGTTTCTTTTATTTTTGCCTCTAAATACAATCGAGCAGTGTTTGTTATTATCCCATTGACATCATTTAAAAGGCACTCCTAAATCGCAGTCTAGATCTAGGTACTTCTTCCTACTTTTATTTGTGCATTGATCAAAGTATTAAATTTCTTCAACTCCAATCTTCCCAGGCTGAGATTTGCCTCTGGGACTTCTTTAGACCCAGAGGAGAGTTAGTTTTCAGTAGGCAAAATTCTGGTAATTTCTTAAAATATAGGAGTTTTAATTATTTTAATTATTTTTAACTCTGAAAAACTTTTCATTATGATACCCTTAACAATCATTTTTTAAGATTTATCCATATTTAGAATATCCTATCTATGTAATTCTATTCACTACCCAATAGCAGGTAACTTACAACTACCCAATCAATTTATAGGCTGAAAATGATAACGCGTTTCCTGTGAGATTCCACCATTGATTGTGTGATTTGTGTCCTTGATAGATATGCATTTTCAGAATAAAGTGATGCTCTATGGATTACTGGAGTTTTACAGAAACTACAATATGGTGTGAAATAACATGGATAAATGGAGTTAATAATATGCTATGACTCTCTATGACAATATATCTTTGAAATCCTAGACAAATCAGAACTGCTTTAAAGAAGATGGTTTTGACTAGTCAGGCAAAAAAAAAAGATTTCAAGGAAATGAATTTAGAAATTTATATAAGAAAGAAAATGAGTATATGCAAGGGTAAATAAAGAGATACACATTTGAAGTAAATGTGTGTGGTAAAGAGAAAAATACTTTTTGAGGTTACTTAAAAAATTTTGTATTTTGTGAAAAAGAGCAGGATGCTCAAAAAATTGAAAATATTTTAAATTAAACATGGATTTTCTCCTTAGAAAGCAATTTACTTTCCTTGGAGAGAAAGGTGTTTAAGTCAGAAGAATAAGTGAAATATTATGGACAAGTGGGTATTTGGAAATAGCTAAACAAAAGGTACAAGTGCTGAGATCCTGGAAATCCAAAGGAGCAACCCAGAGTGCAGGAAACCTAATTTTCATTGAATTTAGACTAACTAAACTAAAAGTAGAAAACAGAAAAAAAAAAAAAAAAAGAGTAGAAAACTCATCCAGTATCATAGCATGTTTACTAAGTTCTTACAGGTAGAAAATAACATCTAACAATAGACCACAATAAATTTGTATAGGATTTCTGTGGTCAAGAAAAATAAGGGGAATTATAAAAATATATGGAAAGCAAAGTAGCTCATTTTCTTGTGAGCTAGTATATGTTTCAAGGACCCAAGCTGCCAAAAATCTTTTACCTTTAAGACCGTGTCTGTAGTAAATAATATTATAAAACAAAAGTACATTTTTCTTTTTTTTTCCCCCTCCATTTAAAAAGGCATGGAGCAATCAAAAACAAGGGCCAAAGACAGTGAGAAATCTTTGCAGCTGATTATACCACCTTTCATATATGTGACTCCAGCCAAAGCTCTCTCCAGAGTTCCCAGCTGTGAGGAACATGATATTGACTCTGAATCAGGGAAAGTGAGAGCAGCAATCCCAGTTTTAGTTCTAAGTCTATTATAAACAGAATTAGTATTACCTTGGGACCAGTCTACGTGCAACAGTTATGGTAATTCTCAGTAAAGTGGCTGGTGGTGAAGTTTAAGTGTACCATTGCCCCGTGCATTGGCTGTGTTGTGTTGGTCAATTGTTTTAACTTAATTGTGTGTCTGCAGTGTAACAAATAACATACTTTCTCTGACTGAAAAATTTTGTGCTGATTTTTATTAATATTCACCCTGAGCTTGACTCAATGACTTGAGGAAATGGATTTTCTTTCTTTCTGTTTAAACATTCAAAACACAGTATGTGTTGTAGTGGCATTTTTTTGTGCCCCGGCTCACAAACACATTTTTAAGTATAATTAGAGTACTAACAAAATACTCTTATCTCTTTTTTTTTTTTTTTTTTTTTTTTTTTGCATTAGAACTTTCTTCTGCATCTAAGGCTTAGTAATTAGCTCTAAGAGGTCAGGGGAACATCTGTTTTATGTTTGCCATTCAAACGAGAATTTGCATGGACAAGAGAATTTACAATCTGAGCACTCTACAAGGCTGTTTGCATTACCTGTTGGTAACAACAACAGAATTATCTAGCCCGACAAGCTATCCAGACAGGGGTTAGCTTTTTCTCAGGCTGAAAAAAACAATGTTCTTAATTAAGAACCAAGAAATAACAGGTCACTTCATTTTCAAATAATAAGTGAACTTTACCTCTTCAGCACATTGAGGATGCTAATTGGTAGATAGCAAATTGCAAACACCAAAAGCACAACCATCAGCATCCGGGCTGTTTTCCTTCTGGCTCGGATCTGCTTTATTTCAGCAGCCACAGCGCTCATCCTGGACTTGGTCTGCTGTCCTGGCCCTCGAGGCTGTGAAACAGGCTGCAGGGGCTTCCATTTTCTCTGAACAACAGATGATGTTCCAGGGATCTGAAAGTAGTGGAGACCCTTTATTGTTACCTGACTTAGGGAAGTTCCACTTCGGAGAAGTAATTATAAGACACAGTAAGGAGAGTTCCCAGACTCCTGTGGTCTGAGAGGCTTGAGGGCCCATTTCCCCAGAACATTTGCTGAACGGAGCATGCTTGAGTAATACATGTGAGTGCCAAATAGGAGTTGGGATGGAAAAAAAAAAAAAAGTTGAAACATTACATTTTGTCAATGTCTAAATTAGAGAGCTGCAAATGGAATAGATATCTCTATAAAAAGAGAAGTTGTACATTCAGACCATGGAATATTCAATGCTATAAAGAAATGAGCTATCGAAGCATGAAAAAAAAATAGAGAAAACTTAAGCTCGCTTAACTAAGTGAAAGAAGCCTAACTGAAAAAGGCTACATGTATGATTCTGACAATATTACATCCTGGAAAAGGTAAAACTGAATACATTAAAAAAGATTAGAGACTGCCAGGGGCTGAAGTGGGGAGGGATGAACAGGCAAAAGTAGAGAGGATTTTTTAGGGTAGTGAAAATACTCTGTATGATACCATAATGATGCTTTCATGTCATTATATATTATACAATGTATTTGGGTACATTGTCCAAAGCCACAGACTGTACATTAAGAGTGAACCATAAGATGCACTATAGACTTGGGGTAATTATGCTGTGTCAGTATAGGCTCATCAGTTGTAACCACTTTTGTGAGGGATGTCATAATTGGGAAGCTGTGCATGAACGTAACTCGGGGACATACAGGAATTCTCTGTGCCTTCCATTTAATTTTGCTGTGAACCTAAAACTGTTCTAAAAAAACTCCAAACAAACAAGCAAAAAACTCTGCATTAGAAAAAAAAAAAAGAGAAATTAGAGCTGGGGAAGAACAGTAAAGGGATGGCAACCATATTATCTTTTTAGGAATTTTGGTTCGGCTCAGCTACCTAAATTGAAAGAGAAAGAAAACCTAACAGGTAATTGCAAAGGTAACCTGAATGGATTTTTCATGTATCAATACTGCCACCTGCTGCTAGATGGAGAGATAGGACAACTATCGCTTTTTATCAGGTGTTCTGCTTCTCAGGTCTGGCCGATGTAAACCTTTGCATAAAGGGAATAAAAAATAAAATACTCTCTGTTGCTTACTATGTATTGTTACGAAATAGCGTGAAACCAATTTTATGGTGTGTCACTTTAACAGGCACACACACATACTGAGAACCCCTTGTGATCTTACATTAACATTTCAAATACCTGGAATTTATAAAGACAGTTATACAACTTTTACTATTATATGCCTTTTCAAGTTATTTGAAAATAGCAAGGAGTCCCTCCAAGAATACTTTCTTAATTATAAGCTCACGTAGATGGATAGCGTTGAGTGAACAAAACAATAAAATTCAGCCTGTGTAATTTTTTAAAAAGGAAAATGTGCCAGTAAGCTTATATATGGCCATCGCAGTTCTATTAAGATCACTCAGCTGTTGCTTTTATGTCTGGGCTGCACACTGGGACAGATCACTCTATTCCTGTGGTCTCTAGGATGGATGTTGGATGGATTATCTTGCTTTATACATCACAAGATTGAGGTCTGTTAGATGATCTTTAATTTGAGAGCAGAATTTTACTTTGATATTTCCACAGATGAATTAATATAATGCTCCTTTTGACCGCATCTATTCTCTCTCGCAAAAGAGCAAATGCAGTTCATGAAAGCCTAGCCTTAAATTAAAAAAAAAAAGGAAAATTATTTATCTTCTGTCTCTACATGTCCTGTCAGGTAGGCTGACGTTTTCGTATAGTGGTAGCTTCACTCAGTCTTCTTATCCATGATTGGCAGGTGGTAGGAGCTGAGAAGCCTTCCTTGTCTGTGAATCTCATTTTAAATAGTCATTTTTAAAATAATTGAGGAGAAGCTGTAATGGATGTCAGAAAGTTCCAGAAGAACTTCAGCATGAGTTACCCTATAAATGTCTGCTAAATGGCCTTGAACTGTTTTCTAAATGATCTCTGAGAGATCATTAAACTTTAGCAATTGTATTATTGAGTGCTCCCCAGAAGGAAAGAATCAATATCCTG